TATGCTCAAATTACTTGATTTATTAGAACTGCTAGAGTGTCTTGAAATCTCACTGGGTTGTGTAGTTCATTCCATGTTTTTGTTTTTCTTAACAGGGTTCGAGACCAAGTGCTAGACTGTTTTCTTTTGGAAAAAACTTTATGTTGTATTACAGCAGATGGCTGTAGTAAATATTCTTTTGGATTGTATTAAACTTGAGAGCTGACTAATTGTAAGTATGAAGTGTTTTGGAGTACTTCAAATATATATATATTGAAGTTATTTGAAGTATTCCTAATTTTGAATTATGGATTGTACCGTGTCCTGGCGAGAGTTGGGCAGGCGTCCCGCCAATACCCTTGGGTTCGCCCTTGGGAGAAATGGGAACGTCACAGTTGGTATCAGAGCTTAGGCTTCAGATCTTTGTAATGTATTCTAGACTTAAAAGTTTAGGATACCGGACTGTGGGATTGGTTTGAAAGTTAAGTGACCGTTTGTAGGGATGAAAATTAGAACCGCTTCACGTGGTATCTGCGCGGGGTGAGTTTGGACCAAGTGGTGTTATGGTTCTTATGATGTGAATGAGAAAAGGGTTAAGTGCTCTTCTAGAGTGAAGCTATGGATCATGGATGTGATAGGTATAAAACCTTTATCTTGATACTTGGAGGAAATTAGATATGTATGTTGAGTAGGAATTTCAAATGTGGTGATTTACTTTTGGGACCGATTGGCTCGAGTTGTGAATTACCTTGTTTTGAATTCTTGTACCCGAGTATCTAAGAGTTGATGGCAATTCTAAGGACTTGAGATCTCCATTTGTGGGGGAATACGAATGAACCGATAGTTCACGTGAATAGTTACAGGAAACTAATAATCGTTTGCCTAAGATGGCACAATAATTAAGAGGGGCAGGTGGAGAAGATCGTAGCCCAAAAGATCCTGGTGTTGGGATTGAAGTTGAACGTGTTAGGGAACGGAAATCATCTAGTTCCAATTAATCTAGTGAAGCACTACTTGTGACCTTTTGCAGTGGGACGATGGGAGTAGAACTTAAGAGTTTGTGCCTTGGACATAAATGTACTTTTGATAACCACTTGTTTACTTTTGTTTACTGACTTTGACTTGGTATGAACTTTATTTGACTGTGTTGGAAAAGAATTAAAGAGATTTTATTAATTCTGTATATTTCCTACAATTCATTCTAATCTATATATACAATTTTCTGGTACACTAAATAAGGAAAGTCTACATCTAATACCCTTAATTTTGGAGACAGCTTATTCACCCTGATTTCCTCCACTAATTTACCTAAAATATCTCCTAAGATTACTCATTCAAGATTCCTACATTCACCCTGATTTCCTTCACTAATTTATCTCCTAAGATTACTCATTCAAGATTCCTACACTCCCCCTCAAGCTGGTGAATATAGATCTTCCATTCCCAACTTGACAACACTCTCATGAAACATGTTGCTACACAGTCCCTTTGTCATCACATCTGCAAGTTGAAGTCCCGTCGGAACATACGGAGTACAAATCAGTCCACTTTCTAGCTTCTCTTTAATAAAGTGCCTGTCTATCTCTATGTGTTTCATCCGATCATGTTGCACTGGGTTGTGAGCTATACTTATAGCAGATTTGTTATCACGGTATAGCTTCATCGGTTTGCTCCATTGAATCCTCAAGTCTTTTAGGATAATTTTAACCCACAATAATTCACATACCCCTGCTGCCATAGCCCTAAACTCTGCTTCAGCGCTTGACCTTGCTACCACACTTTGTTTCTTGCGTCTCCAGGATATTAAGTTTCCTCCAAGAAATGTACAATATCCCGAAGTTGATCGCCTGTCGACTGGAGACCCTGCAAAGTCTGCATCTGTGTAAACTGCCAGATCAATTTCAGGACCCTTTTTGAATAAAATTCCCTTCCCTGGATGTGCCTTTAAGTAATGAAGCACTCGATAAACTACTTGTAGATGAACTGCTCTAGGATCATGCATAAACTGACTAATAACACTGACTGAGTAAGCTATATCTGGCCTAGTATGTGCGAGATAAATGAGTTTCCCAACAAACCTTTGGTACATCTCTCTGTCCACTACTGTTTCTCCATGAGCCTCACTTAATTTGTGATTCTGCTCAATGGGAGTTCCAACTGGTTTGCTCGCTGTCATGCCTGTTTCCTTGAGCAGGTCCATATCATACTTCTGTTGAGAAATAAAAATTTCCTACCTTAATCAAGCCACTTCAATTCCCAGAAAATACTTCAATTTTCCTAAATCCTTTATTTCAAATTCCTTGGCTAGGCACCACTTCAAAGTTTTCTTCTCTACTTCATCGTTTCCTGTCACTATAATGTCATCTACGTATACAATCAAAACAGTAACTCCCCCGAAGGCTGAATGCTTGATGAACAGGGTATGATCTCCTTGACTTTGCTTGTAACCATTAGCTATCAGTACCTTGGCAAATCGTCCAAACCAAGCACGTGGGGATTGTTTCAGCCCATATAATGCCTTTTTTAACCGACAAACCTTGTTCTTGTCAACCCCACTGAATCCCGGTGGAATGCTCATATAAATCTCCTCTTCTAACTCTCCATGAAGAAAAGCATTCTTCACATCGTACTGCTATAATTCCCAATCAAAATTAACAGCCAAGGATAGCAGAATTCTTACTGTATTCATCTTTGATACCGGAGCAAACGTTTCCCGATAATCTACTCCATATGTCTGTGTGTATCCTTTCGCAACTAACCTTGCCTTGTAGCGTTCTAGGGACCCATCTGCTTTAAACTTTACTGCATACACCCACTTACAGCCCACTACTTTCTTGTTCTTTGGTAAATCAACTAATTCCCAGGTCTCATTCTTCTCTAATGCATCCATTTCTACTTCCATAGCAAGTCTCCATTCTTTCTTTGATAATGCTTCAGACAATGAGCTAGGAATGGAGACTGTGTTTAAGGTGGAAAGGAAGCTTTGATCGCTTGGGGAAAACTTCTCAAAAGACACAAAGTGTGACAATGGGTATAGGGGTCTTTTGGTGCATTCTCGGGATTTTTTCCTTACAGCAATAGGTAGATGTAGGTCCTGGTCAAGGCTAAGAGGCCCAGGACAAGGTGATTTAGAGCTGGAAGAATGGTCAGTCGGTGGTGTAGCATTCAGATTTGATTCACTCATTGTTACCTCATTCCCGGAGCTTGGTTTAGAGGATTATTCTTGCCTTGTAACCACGATGGGACTCCTTTCCTTGTATACACTTGGTCAAACCGGAACCAGTCATAGATTTTACGATCTTCCTTTTTTTCTTCTACCACACCAGGTTGAAGAATTGACTCTTGGAATTCAGATTTGGATGACTCAGATGTGGACAACTCTAAGGAGGGAAATTTTAACTCCTTATCTTCAAGTGTATCTAACTCCCCCTGAAGATAAGGAGTGATGAAATAGGGCTTATTTTCAACAAATGTAACATCTGTCGAAACATAGAGTTTTCTAGTAGGTGGATGATAACATTTGTAACCCTTTTGAGTAGATGAGTACCCCACGAAGACACACTTAAGAGCACGAGGATCTAACTTCCCACGGTTATGACTATGGACATGAACAAAGGAAGTACATCCAAAAACTCGAGGAGTGAGATTAAAGGAAGATCGAATATCGGGGTAGAATTTGGATAGGTTCTCTAGTGGACTTTGAAACCCCAAGACCCTGGAAGGAATTCTATTTATGACATAAGTTGATGTGAGTACAACTTCTCCCCAATATGCTTTTGGCACACTTTTTTCAAACAGTAAGGCTCTAGTGCACTCAAGAAGATGTCGGTTTTTCCGTTCTGCCACTCCATTTTGTTGTGGAGTGGTAATACAGGATGATTCATGTATGATTCCTTCTTTTTGGAAAAACAGACTCAAAGTTTGATTGAAATAATCACGAGTATTATCTAAACGAAAGTGTTTTATCTTGGTGCCAAATTGATTTTGAATCATTGCATGAAAAACAGGAAAAATATGACTCAAATCAGACTTATTTTTGAGTAAATAGATCCAAGAGACTCTTGTGCAGTCATCGATAAATGTGACAAACCACTTAGACCCTGAGATGTTTGGAATAGTTGATAGCCCCCAAATATCACTATGGATTAAAAAGAAAGGAGAAGACGATCGTTTATTACTGATAGGAAACGGTACACGAGTGTGTTTAGCATACTCACAAATATCACAATGAAAAGACTGAACATCAAATCCCTTGAACAAGGAAGGAAACATTATTTTTAGTGCAGAAAAAGACACATGACCTAGACGTCTATGATGTAACCAGATGACATTCTTATTGGAGGGTGAAGACAATGTGGACAGGGCAGATTTACTAAATTCTGGTTGACTTGATGTATCCAAGTAATAGAGTCCATCATGCTCCTTAGCTAGTCCAATCCTCTTCCCCGAGCCCCGGTCCTGGAAGTCACAACAGGATTCATCAAATATAACAGAGCCAGCTAGATCTTTGGCAAGTTTTTTACAGAAACCAAATTTGTAGATAATTGAGGAACATGAAGAACATTTTTAAGAATCAAATTTGGAGTAACTTGGACATCTCCGATACCTACCACAGTGGTTGTAGTACCATCTGCAACAACAATCTTTCTATTGCTAGGACAGGGGTTATAGGTTTTGAATTTATTTGAAATATTAGTCATATGGTCCATAGCACCAGAGTCAAGAATCCAGACATTCCTAAACTCATTGCCTAAAACACTAAACGCAAAAGAGATTAGAGCCTTACCTGAAAGTGTCAATGAACACATACCCGGATTCCTTGATTGAGAATTGTTGGTTGCTGGTTTGTCAACTGTCTCTAACATACTTTTAAGCTTCTCAATTTCCTCCATACTAAACCCTCCAATCACTTGAGTTGGATCTTGAACCGACATATGAGCCTGTTTTTGCTGGCCACCTTTCTGTCCCCATTCACGAGTGGGTGGTTTCCCATGTAGTTTCCAGCATTAATCTATGGTGTGTCATGGTTTCTTGCAGTATGTGCACCACAACTCCTCGCGATTCTTTTGCCCACTTGTTTGATTGGTCTTGTCCGCAGCAACCTTGTTCAGTACCAACCGCTGAGGTTTGGAACTTAAAAGGGCTGAATTTTCTATTGAAGGTAGCTCTAACATAATACCCCTGCGACTTTCTTCTCCACGTACCTGAGATATTGCTTCTGTTAAAGAGGGAAATTCTGGCCTGCCCAGAATTTGAATTCGTTCAAGATCGAATTCAGAGTTTAGGCCAGCCAAAAAATCATAAACTTGATCCCTTTCTATGAACTTCTTGATAAATGCTGCACATTTGCTACAGTTCAAATCAAGTGTCCTATAATAATCCAGTTCCTGCCACTGGTTTTGCAGAAAATTGGCATACTCCGTCACTGTTTTTGTCCCTTGTTTTGCTCCAGTTGTCTTTGTCTTGATGTCATAGATAAGAGCTGCATCATTAACCTTGGAATATGTCTGATGAAGGGCATCCCAAATTGCTTTTGCTGTAGGAAGAAACATACATGTATCGCTGATTTCAGGAATCATGGAATTCCATAACCAAGACATGATCATTGAATCCTCTTGTTCCCATGCTTCAAACCCCGCCATTTCACTCTCCGGTGCTATTTCCAATAGATGACTCAACTTTCCTTTTCCTTTCAGGAATGTTCAAACCAATTGAGACCACTTCAAATAATTTTTTCCATTTAGTCTATATGCCGCCTGGATGTTTTGAAGCTCTGTTGTGTTCCGTGCACTTTGTTCTTCTTCCACAGTTGAAGACAATTGCCGCGTTGAGGATGTAGCATCCGCCATAATTGAATAGGAGGAAAAAATGTATAGTAAAAGGAACAGCAATGAAGGCTGGAGAGAATAAGAAAGGAACCAGCAATTAAGGCTGGAATTGACAAGAAACAAAGGTGGTATTTTTCCCAAAACCCTAGACGGGCTCTGATACCATGTTGGAAAGGAATTAAAGAGATTTTATTAATTCTGTATATTTCCTACAATTCATTCTAATCTATATATACAATTTTCTGGTACACTAAACAAGGAAAGTCTACATCTAATACCCTTAATTTTGGAGACAGCTTATTCACCCTGATTTCCTCCACTAATTTACCTAAAATATCTCCTAAGATTACTCATTCAAGATTCCTACATTCACCCTGATTTCCTTCACTAATTTATCTCCTAAGATTACTCATTCAAGATTCCTACATTCACCCTGATTTCCTTCACTAATTTATCTCTTAAGATTACTCATTCAAGATTCCTACAGACTCTAACTTGTGTTATGATTTAATGAACTCGAGTTTATGTTTGATTGGTATGGTAATAATGTTAATTGTGTAAGTGATTTCATTTTTCTTTAAAGTTGTTACTAGTATGTGTGGAGTTCAATTATGGCTTAGTGTGAGGTTTATGCATATGCATATAGATTAGCTGTGAATGCATATGCATATAGATTAGCTGTGAACATGGAAACTAGAGGACAACGGAAGAGACGTCAACCTAGACAACCCCGAAATCAAAAAGTAGATAATGGGTCTGATATTGATCAAAATGCCGAGCCAAGGGCGGGGAGAGGAGATGACCAAATGGGATTAGTTTTAACTCGCATGACGGATGTACTAGAGCTCTTAGTAGCTCAACAGGGCCAAGGGGTTGGACAAGGAAACCAACGTGGAAACCAAGAGATAGGGGAGGATCGAGCTTTGGAGTGGTTTCAAAAATTCTTTCCGTCCAAATTTTCTGGAGGGCCTGACCCAGAAGTGGCTGAGAATTGGTTAGAGAATATAAGGAATATATTCGATGCCTTGGATTACACGGAGGAAAGACAAGTCACATTTGCTGTATTTCAACTTGAAGGAGCAGCCCGAACTTAGTAGAATATTATAAGAAACCAGTGGGAAAGAGATCAAACTCCAAGGATTTGGATAAACTTTGTACGAGAGTTTAATGAGAAATTTCTCCCTCCACTTGTTCAAGAAAAGAGAGAAGACGATTTTATAAAGTTTCGACAAGGAACTTTGAGTGTGGCTGAGTACAAAACACGATTCACAAAATTATCTACATATGCTCCAGAATTGGTGGCTACGGAACGGAAGAGAATAAGACGGTTTATCCAAGGATTTAATTTAGAAATCCAAGATGCCCTTGCCGCAGTACAGATTGAAACATTTACTGATGCTCTCGAAAAAGCGCAAAGGGTAGAGAACACAAAATCCCAACTGAGAGCCTTTCAAGCGAAGAAAAGAGATGTATCTAATGGTATACTAAGAGAAATTGGACCACCACCCAAAGTTAGAAAAGAAGTGGATAGAGTGAGACTATCACTTCCTTCACCACTCATGATAAAGGAACCAAAAGCAACTATGTCACGAGGAGCTCCAGTAGGACAGATACGATCAAAGGAAACCTCGCAAGCAAGTCAAGTCACACCGCCTCGTCCGACTTGTGGATACTGTGGAAGGACAAATCATACCGAAGAAAACTACTGGCTAAAGGGGTAAAAATGTATGGGATGTGGGAGCACCAACCATAAAGTTCACGACTGTCCAAAGCGGTATCCACGAGAAACAACTACTTCACAAGGAAATAGAACTATCCCTCGACGAGTCAATGGAGGAGAAAACCGACCAGTGGCATCTGCAAGAACATATGAAACGATCACACAACAAGGTTCAGGGTTATTTGAGATTACAGAATGTATGAATTTCGAGGACGAAATTCTTTTTAAGGAGGGAAGGTTGTGAGTTGCCGAATTTTTCTTATTTTATTTTACTGGCTTAATTAATTATTTACTCACCCATTTTTTCTGAATATTTTATTCCAACCTCTTTATACTCAATTACATGGAATTATGATCTACAAATATTTTAAAAGTGCCTTGATTCGAAAATTTATTTCTGAAAGCTCGTTTAGAGTGATTAGTGGATGCGCGTTTGGAGACAATAATCGATTCGAGAATACAATAAGTTTGAAAAATTGGAGACTTGTACATTAGTCTTGAAATAGGTATTTTTATGTTAAAGTACTCAAGTGTTAGTTGGTTATACTATCATTATAAAAATTTATTGGAAATTTCACTTTATCGCGCACAAATCGGAGGTACGCGTTTTTGCGCGCGCGATTAATTGATGGACTTTAGACCTTCATTTTTAGACTATTAAGAGTGAATAATAATAGTATGGAAGGAAGTGCATTAGAGGTTTAGTACACAAGTGAAACGAATCCGAGAGGAATCGGGCACGAAACGCCCGCGAACGCGCACTATTGAAGGGTTGACTTTTGGAACATTTTTGGCCACACACTTAAGTTTCTTTAAGAAGCTTTTCCACCAGCCATTTCTCTCTCCTTTCTCCCTCAAGACAGCCGACTCTCTCAAGAAAGAAGGAGCAAGAAACTTTCTTTTTCATTTCTCTCAACCCAACCATCCATTTCACTCCAAACTTGCAACTTACACTCAAGACCACTTGGGGATTCACTTAGGCAAGGAGAAGAGCTTCATTTCCACTGTTTCTTGGAGCTTTCTTGTGGTAAAAAATCTGACCTTTAGCATCTAAGAAGGTATCACATGATCTAACCCTTGAAACTTGTTATTTATGAGTTAGAAACTTGTAGCTTCTTATGGGTAACTTTGTTTGGTTATAAATCTTGTGAGTGGGCTCTATGAAATCCCACAATGGCTTGGTGGACTGATTTGATGATATATGATGCTATTTATGTTGGATTAGTGCTTAATCTAGTGGAAATACGTGGGTTGTGAAGGAAAACTCAAAAGCAGAGAGTTGAGCAAAAGTGACAAATCTGCCCTTGTTATTGCCGTGACCCTTAGTGCATTTTTTTGTGGTTCAATTGACTTGTTTATGATGTATACATGTTGTGTCGGTTATGTGGAAGGTTTCCACAAAATATTACGTGATTTGGATGATTAAATGTTGAGTTTTCGAAAATTTGTCAAAGCTGGAAATGAGTCTCGTATTACTCTGGCAGTATTTTTGTTTTGGTCATAACTTTTTACTCCGATGTCAAAATCGAGTGCCGTCAGCGGCATTAGAAACTAGACACTTCCGGTTTTCCAATGGTATAAAATGCACATCCTGATTCCACTTGAGTGATCCGTGCCAACCTTGTAAAGTTGTCTGTTTTGTTTCGCGTCTGTACTGAAAGCCCTGTTTTGAGCAGCGATTTGATGCTTAATTATGAGTTAGTTGTGGATAGAATTTTAAAACAATTCCTTCTGAAAAATTGTAGCCTTATGAATGTAGTTTTCAACGCCACCAACCATGCTTAGTTTCAAATTGAATTGAGTGAGTTGTGGCTGAATTTCGAAACTAACTCAGTGATGAAAAACCCTCTTTTTGGCTAGTTGAATGACTCTTTTTGAATTGCGACTTGTGATCATGAAATTCTTGGTGTTAATCACCTACCAAATGTATCTTGGATATTTTTTAGACCTTTATTTCATAAATGGGCCAGATTTGAATCGTTTTCACTGGGCAAAATGTTTTAAAATGAAGAAGGAAGCAAAAGACAGATTGGTCTTGGGATTTTTTTGAACTTTGGTAGTTTAGTTCACTACCTTCCCGTGTGAATTTTCAAATGAAATTTAGTAGAGGAGTAATCCTCATATAAAAGTTGAATGGTACCAATTTTGGTGTCAATCTAAGACCATTTCGATATACAAATGATGTCCCAAAGTTGCTCTTCGAATCTAGAAACTTTTCCTTTTCTCTTGGCCAAATGATCAAATCTGATTTGGGAAGTTATATTTCAAAAACTTTGATGTCAATTGTATCTAAATTTCTTATTGGATGTTTATGGAATATTGGTTTCAATACTTGAATTAATTGAAGTTTATTGTATGGAAGAAAGCTTTTAAAAAGGAAGGAGACGTGAGAAGGCATTGTAGCCTTGGAATATTTCTTGAACTTTAGTGGTTTTAATGACTGCCTTTTCGTGGGAGTTTTTGCATGAAACTTGGTAGAAATATTGTTCATACATGGGAGATTTAGTGTACCAATTTTGGTGTAGTTCCAATGCCAAATCAATGGTCAAATGATATTTCAAAGATAGCCTTTCAAATTTGGAAAATGTTCAATCTGTCCTTGTTTTTAGTTAACTTCGGACTGCGATATCTTGATGTACTCCAAATCTTGTTCCGCTTGTTGTGTTTTAAACTTTGATTGTAACTCTGATTGAGTTCCAAATTTCAGAGGTTAGTTCGTATTGTATGAATTTTGTCGAATTTCCAAACTTTGCCAAAAATCAACTCAAATCTATCTTAGTATTTCAAAACCACAACTTGAAGCCGAATTTTGAATGTCTTTCATTTGGAATCATCGAAAAGTGCTTTCTAGGAACTTTTAGTACTTTGGAAGTAGTTTCCAACGGTACCAAATTTTCCATTTTTGGACTTTCAGAGAGTGAGTTATGATTTTTCAAAGAATACCCTAAACTTGATAAATTTTGGCCATTTTGAAAAGAATCCGCACGGGAATAATTTCATAGAATCAGGCCAACTATCCGGCAAGTTCTTGGCCGGATATACGGCCGGATTGATGGTGAGATTTGAAAAAAAATTGGGTTTCTTCACTGCCTCG